AATAATTTAATTAAAAATAATTTATATTTATAATATGATGCCTAGCATTTTTCTCACACTGCATAAGTGGGTCTTAGAAAAATATAGCTAATTTTATAATTTATGAAGGGAATTATCTCCTGCAAGAGGATTTTGCAGCGTGTAGCATGAAAAGCAAACGTTTTATACAAATAGGGCTATATGGATAACATAAATTACATATAGCCTACATAAAGCATGCAAAGAGAGCTCTCTAAAAACCTCACTCGTCTTAGCTGATCGCGATCTCACAAAGTTCCGTTATAATCAATGAATCTCTCTGTACTGCACAATTAATCTTTTATTTACATCGTTATAATAAGACGGTTCTCGAGCTTGCAGAACTGAGCACTGGACAAAAACTCCGGCGTTTTAAGCGTTGAATGGGTTCTAACTTTAACGCCTCTGATTGGTCATTGCGTTCAATAAATCAACAGGTATGTATGTGATTGGCTGCATTGCTGAACGGCTGTAAAAATGGAAATGGAAACCTGTTAAGCTCTCCGGAGCGCAAACACAAATGCGCGCTAGATAGTTTGCCAAATCTGTTTATTACAGCTTCAACTGCGGGTGCTCTTGCTTTCACTATTATCCCCTTAAAACCAGGCCGGAACTAAGGGCAGGGCCGGACTGGGACACAATTTCAGGCCGGGAAATCTCACACTCATCCAGGCCATCCTATACACCCGCAACAAATTCTGAAACCACAGACAACCCTATTATTTGTATGGCCATCACAAAGGCCTAAACCCTTGGGCTGGAGCCGTGCAAAATAATTTAAGGTTCTTGAATTGCACCTTCACTTCCATTTTCCTTTTCCTCATTTTCCCCAATATCTCTGTCCATCCCTTGCGTAGCCTATATGTGTGTTTTTTTCTTGTACCTGTCACTTCTTCACCAGCAGGTCTACTGTTATGAACAGAACAACCACCTCATTGTAATTTGTTTGCACAGAATGTTGATACTTATCTTAAAATGACTTAAAGGGGTCATATGATGTTGCTAAAAAGAACATTATTTTGTGTATTTGGTGTAATGAAATGTGTTTATGCGGTTCATTATTTTCCACATACTGTACATTATTGTTTCTCCTCTATGCCCCGCCTTTCTGAAACGCGTCGATTTTTACAAAGCTCATCGGTCTGAAAAGTGAGGTGTGCTCTGATTGGCCAGCTATAGAGTGCATTGTGATTGGCCGAATACCTCAAGCATGTGATGGCAATGTTACGCCCCTTACCATATTGTGATGCCTTGTCCCAGCCTGTGCGGGCGGGTTTGAGAACGGTGCGGCCGGCTGATTCGACGAAGGAGCGTCCGGCGGGCTTGCGGCAACCACATGTGACGACCCCGGGCTGGACTCCGCTTCGTCCACGGTGAAACCCTATCCGGCGATCCTAGTTGATGTATTTCCTCAGCGACCAGCAC